AGTTCGTCATAAATGCTACTAAGTCCTGCTTCAGAATTTATATATAATATTGTTTCTATAGTCATAAAGTTTAAAATAAATCCGAAAAAGTAGATACATAAATTAATGCTCCAATTAAATTAAAAACCTCAGGCTACATCTACATAGAAATTGAATTAAAACATGACCAAGGTACCATGTTCTAACAAAAAATAACCGTAACAAAAATTAGGTGTTGGCGCGCCGCGGGCCCTATCAGCACAATGATAATTTTATCAGTGTGTTATATTGATAACACAGATAAATTGACATGACGTCGGTCTATAATTTCACTCCCGTGTTCGTGGTTACGCCCAAAATAGTAGTAAAGTAATAATTATAACTCCTAGTATTTGAAGTCACTAGTTGTATGGCTGTTGATTAGTTAGTAGGAGTTATTACTAGTAAGATCAGAGAGGAATGAAAAAATTAGAATAGTGAATTTATTTATAGTATAAATGTAGGTAAATGAGATAAAAAAATTAATCAGCATATCGGTTAAGAGCGGCTACCAATGTTGTAAATATGGAATTGAATTTTATAGCTTTATTTTTGCTTGAAATCGCCTAAAGGTTTTTGTATGCGACCGTTATATTTAATAACTATTATAACTTCATACATCTCGCACACGGCTGTCTGATCGCAAACTAGGCAGAGCCCGTATGGTAACCAGACTGCTGATAAACATACTTACTTATATATTTCTAAATACATCTATACTAATATTATAAAGCTGAAGAGTTTGTTTGTTTGTTTGTTAGTTTGTTTGTTTGAACGCGCTAATCTCAGGAACTACTGGTTCGATTTGAAAAATTCTTTCAGTGTTAGATAGCCCATTTATCGAGGAAGGCTATAGGCTATATATCATTACGCTAAGACCAATAGGAGCGGAGCACCAATGAAGAATGTTTCAAAAACGGAGAAAATTTATTACTATTGAGAGACGCAGACGAAGTTGCGCGGGTCAGCTAGTACATAATATAGATAAATTACACCCAGACACAGAACTAATGATCGTGCATCGAGCAGTCAGCCCATCGAAATTACCTCCTTTTTTGGTTTATTTTAAAAACAACCAATAAACAAATACAATTTTCAATTATGTCTGCCAACGATGTGTTATTAGTGTTACAAATATATGTATTTATATAGGTATATAGATTCAACTAAAACTTTATTACAAGGAAAGAAGACTTGCAAATTATGTTGAATTAAATTCTGAAATATTTTCTTACGAAACTCAGAAACAGAATTAGCAGCTAGCCCAACATTTTTAATGGTTATATAAAACATTTCCCTTTACTACCTAAACTGCAGTGTTACATTTTTAAAGTTAGAAAACTATGTAAGTCTTTTGTCCTTTGTCATAAGTCTCAAGACATGGAGGCAGTCAGACATTATTACCAACCTAATTTGGGTGGGTGGAACAGAAAACTATTAACATTATAGAAGACAACATAAAGTAGTTTATTTTATTTTGGTAAGCGACTACCGCAGCCGGTAGAAGTATAAGTGCGTTGACATCATTTTAGTGCAAAGTTACTGAAGTGGAGGGGGGGGGGGGGGGGTGTCAAGCTTTTGCTAATCTTACTCGCTCGGTGAAAAACAACCTAAACATTGCTTAAGGCCAGTTTTCTGTAAACCCGTGGTATCACAACGGTTCAGCCGACCCATATGTCCTGAAGTATAGCTCTCCTGCTGAGGTGAATAATGATTGGTTATCGGGCTACTTCATAAGGAAAGTCTCACGAAGATAACACAAACAGATCTTATCTACAGATCGAATTTCTTACCGATGTCAATGGTTACAACGATATCAATGACAATGCTACATCACGTTATCGAAGATACCGGCACAAATAGATCGAATCAAATATTTACCGACACCGCTATCTGAGGGTGACATGTGTTTTACACGCATCATTATGATAGTCGAACAAACTTGTACTAATATTTTATTTTTGTTAGACAAGACACTCATGTGATACAATGAAGAGTTTCCGATAATAAACTCTTGTTATGATACTTATTGATCGTGGATTCACTCGCTGAAAAGTATAATTTTTACATATCTCGGGTACAGTAAGTACTTTTTTCTGGATGCAAAGTAATATTTGTTCTTCTTTGTATCGCTGACAACGTGTATGAACATTTCTTGGTGATCGGATGAACGACATGTCAAAAATAAAGTACATTGACTTTCATAAGTATATTATTTGCTAACCCGCGCCTTCAAGTATTTTAATTCCTCTAGTTTTTGTCTGGTTAAAAACTATGTGCTTCATTATGAGCCTGGTAATATTTCTACAAAATTTGATGCTGGTCGGGTGAACGTAGTTTCCGTACCATTGCCTGATCCGATCCATTGATTTTAATATTAAAGAATATGAAGAAGAAATCAATAAATTAAAAGGATTTTTCTATAAAAAGTTACACAGAATTTACAAATAAAATTCCGAAAATTATTTAAAAGTCTGATTTCTCTTTCTTCTCTTCTTTGGGAATACCGTTTAATCTCAACAATTAATAAAATGTACACTCCTCTAATGCCAACACTCTTTTATTTGACGTGGACGACAATACATTTCTCAGCACAGGTGGATGAGTTCGCTAACACTCGATCCCAACAATGAGCCATCAAACCAAACCGACTTCGAAGTAAAATTCGAACGAAATGGCGTTTTAATAGAGCGAAGCACTCTCGCCAACTTGAATCTTTGGGCTTAAAAAAGGCTTTATATCGGTTTAAAGGGATGAGAGTGGCTTAAACGACTCGATTGCTGCTTTTGGCCAATTACTCACCGCCTACTCAAGATAACAATCGTCTTGTGTGAAACATAATGTCGTCAACATTCATTATGATATTTTTATAGAACTGAAGTGTTTCCTTTGTAGTTTATTTAAACGATCTTTTTTTTCTTGTTGTATTGGTATATATATGGGCAACTCAATACCATGATTTTATTTTTTTGTGAAGAGGGAATGATAATTTCGTAATGGTTATGTTATTTTAAATATTGCAACTCCGTTAAAAAAAAAAATATAATGAATAAAATTAAAATTTTATCATAATATTTATGTAAATAAAAAAACAGTGCTAAAAAGCATATGCAGCAATTGCAGCAAATGTTGGCATTAGCACTTCGACAGAACATTTTTGCACTTTTTGCTGAATATTGAATTCCCGTCGTCAGACAGACACTACGGCGAATTAAAAAGGCAATTAAAGCTATAAATCAGTTGTGGAGGTTATTTTTTCTGCTACTGCCTTTCATAGCCATTACGGAGGTTTTATAGGTTCACTGAAAACACCGATGCCCATCCAGACAAGGCTATTTGAAATATGAAAGTTGTAAAGTGATATATCTCCATCAGCGCGTTTTTTATGGCGTTTGTTTTTTTTACTGCTCAAACATCGCCGTGAGTATTGCTCTATATCATGCTTGATATTTTTATTGAAGTTGATATATTCACTGGAAGTTGTGTTTTATTAGGAAGTTTGTAGTTGTTTTTTAAAGCTTGTCGTATTTAACCAATTTATTCAAGATTTATTGGCTACGTTTAGTTAGTATTAATGTAGAAATTTTTCTTTTTGTGTTTGTTTGAAAAGATATTTGTTCTTATTGTTGTAACTTCTTCATGACTAAAGATGGTGTACTAAATCAGGTTATTTCAGTATCATCCTGAAGCCTATCTGTCATTTCACGTCGTCTGGAGACTGTCATTTTCACTTTTCTCTCTAAAGCAATAATGGTAAAACAATATTAATAAGGTAATAATGAATGTAGTGAATAAATTCACAAATAAATTTTAGTCAATAAGTTCACTAAAATATGACTAAATTAACTAAAATATTTATAAATACATATCATCTCCATGTCATGTGCCATGTCTCCACACTTAATACTAACTTAGTATGAAAGTTTTAAGTTATATATTTTAGACCACTGCCTTTACTAGTCAGGTCTAGAAGATAAGTAAGTATTTTTCTTTCATGATTTATTAAAAACTGAGTTATCAGAAATCGTCTTTCCGTAAGGTAACACTTGATCAATAAACATGATCTTCTTGATTCTATATCCAGACAGTCATCATCATCAATCAACAACAGCGTTTAATAGTCTACTGCTGGACATAGGTTACGCTTTAGAAAGGAGGTTTTGGTCAGACGGCCAATTTGACACAACCGGCAAGTTTTCCTTCTCTTGACAGTGCTTGCTCTTACGAGACCCACGGGATGAATAGAGGTGGTGACATTCTGTATTCTTAATCCGTTAACACACGGACAGTATGACAATGTAACTAATCCTGACAGTCTGCCTCTGACCATAAAACGATGAATTTTATTCAAAATTTGTTGATCAAACAACCGCTAACAGCTACACCACTATCGCTGTTCTAGCGTTTGTGTAATAGTCTGGACACTCTTCATTCTTCATAAATACTTTGGCATTAGTAGTATCTAGTTAATTAGCAGTCAGTACTTGCTTTTATATATGAAAGGGCTTAAAAATCATGTAACTACACTATTTATAAGGTTTTTCCCTAACACCGTATGTTTGTTTGCCACCTTGGTAATAATTGACCTGTTTATTATACCTAAGTAACCCCATATGTCTACTAATACTTGAAGTAAATTATTTGTATTCCATTTTGAAGCAAATATTGCGCAAGTAAGAATTAGATGTTTGGAATAGTACTGTTGTACTGACACACTGAACACTTAATTGATTTTTAAAAAAGATGTGTTTTAATTTAGTAAATAAGCATGCCTTTCGTGGTATGGAAAGTCCAGTATATAAGTAAACCTGACAAGTTCTGTTCTGTTTAAACTTCCACTGGTCAAGTAAATGACATAACACATTTAAAATCCCACAATGTTAATGAAATAAAATCGCAAATTAAAAAAAGTAAAACCAGTAAATTGAACAAAGTTACTTTGCACACATATCGCAGAGAGTAACCAATATCTTTCTTTTCAGTGTCATCGGGAATGGCGACCAGCGCGTGAGTCTGTACTCACGTCTATTCTGTCGCTCGAGCGGCGTTTCCACAACCGTTAACACAAAGCATCAACATTCACCTCCGGGTGTACAAAGAGGCGCTGGCGGCCGGCATGGAGCCGCTAAGCGAGAATGGGCTCTGTTTATCAGAGCTTGAACTCCACGGAGGCGGACATTTGCACGAGTCAGTGGCCGCGTCGGTGGGGTCCGCGATATCCAGCCTCATGGCCCCTCTTCATCATGAGCCACAACATACGCCCCTGCATCATGCTCCGCCGTTACATCATGAACCGCTGGAAAAACTTAAGTGTAAGTAATTTTTAGTTGTTTACCTAACTTGTGTATTTTGGATCATTTCGTTACATTCAAAGCAGTTCGTTCCATTTTAATAATTTCAGTTAGCAAGCCAGATTGTGTGTACCGTATTAGTATAGTAGGTGGTTACTATTCGTTTTTTTTTCTACAATAACGATAATAATACGATTTTTTCGACACAAAAATCTTTACAAAAGTAACTAATCTCTTTAAATCAACTGATAATATTTAATTATTGTCATTAAGCTCGTGCTTAATTTAAATGAAAAACAGTGAAGTAGAAAAAATCAGGATTAAAAAGAACAAATATTCACCAAAGCCTCTTTCAGGTTTAGCTTTTATTCTGAACCTATCTTATCTGCATATTACTGGGTCCCCGCAAAATTACGACGCTTAAATAATATAATTTTACCCTGAACTCAATTAAATAAGGCATCTCACGTATACTGATCTGATCTGGATCGAAAGCTGTCTATGAAAGTGCATAGCGAAGCCGATGAGCGAGAGCCGGATAAGTTTACATGTTTATTGAAATCTATGCTCCAATAGTACACTGCGTCTAAGGACTAGTTCTGCTTAGAAATATTTTTAGTCTCAGACTGAAAACATTTCTTTGCGTAATACTTTTACTGAAAATAAATAAGACATACTCAGAAAATGTTATTAAACCGATATGCCCCAATCACATCGATTCGTTTCCATGAACCAGCGTGGATTTTCCTCGGATTTCTTATATTGGCGAATAAATCCCATTTTAAACTCCACCCGGCCAGTAAATAAAATAGAGGGGTGTTTCCGTGTTTCATTTCGTTGGCGACGCGTGCTCGTACGATCTACTCATTCCTCTGGCGTTTTATTTTTATGAAGATGTGTAGCGCCTCCTGTACTTACAGATACGAGACCTAACAGGGATTTGGCGAGGTAAATAAATGCACTCTTCTTTTTTTATATATATCCGATGTAACTGAATTCGAATTTATTGAATTTTATAAAAGTAATTTGTGCACAAATCTTTTATGGATACGTAATAACGTTCATCAAATCAAACAACTAAATCACTATATTAAATGAGTTTTATATGCCTGCAAGTACATTGGTAAGTGGTCGACGGCTGGGGCCATCGAATCTGAAGTCGGAAAAACGAATAATAATTATTCCTAGAGTTTGATAGTTTCTGTTCTTATTTAGCAATACTCAACAGTTTCCTTTAATCTTTATGTGTGTATTGTACACTAATCTATATGAGGTTTGTTTAAATAAATGATGAACTTTGATGATGATTATTACTGCTGCTGATGATTACTGCTAGACGGACAACTCATGATAAAATACAATAATTTTAGTGTATTAAAGATCCATAAGCACACTTATTTCCTATTGAAAATAATTAAGAACGTCAGTACTTGAATAATAATGAAGAAATTAACAACAGTTATCGTAAATTCAACTCTAAACAAGATGACTTAGTAGATGTATTTCATTCATGTTACTTCTGTCACTTAAACTCATTTTCTAAACTTATCCAAAATTTATAACTAAAAATTAAATAATGTTCATTGGTTCGAGCACCTAATACGGAACTGGTTGATTATTATTTATTGAGTTCATAAATGTACAATTCAGACAATTATGAGCTTCAAGTTTTCAAGGCAAAATAAATAAGAAAAAAAGATCGGAATAATCATTACTCAAGAAAAGGGCTTACATGTCGAACAGGGACCGATATCAGTGCAGACGAAGCCGTGGGCTGAAGACTAGTTTTTAATAACACGAAAAAAAAAACTTTAAAAACTAAACTTAAAAAAAAATTAAAAAGACAGTTGTTTGGCAATAAAAAAATAATGACCGAATCAACACATGACTACGGAATTATTGCACGTGTAAGATAATATAATGACTATATTTATGACATCGTAGTGAATGGTGAATAAAAAGCGCAGTGTATCGTTACAGGCCATCGGACAATGATTACCGTGACGTAATGTGGGCACTTTTGTGTCAGTGTGTATACAAAATTAGGGATTATTCACCTCCCGCCCGCGTGACGCGTAATTCTCCGCTTCGGTTACGTCAATAACATGTCATATTTCATATTCGAAATTTAATATTACAATATTATATTCGTATTCCATATTTGAAATTTAATATTGTTATGTTATTTGACATTCATTTTCATTGATAGTTACTATACTTTTTGCAACGTTGCACCTATTTTCTTCAAATACTTTATGGATGATTTTTGCTAGAGGATGGCTAAGTGCTCACATACTCTTTTAACGATACAGAGTTTGATAGTTAGTCAACATGGCATGCCCTGTCTTATCCATCAGTATATGTAAACATACACAACTGATGCATAGTCGTTGTTTACGAATGCAGACGTCTTCGTACATACTTGTTTGCGGAGCATTTGTATGACAGGGTTTGTATGAGCTATTTGTAGGTATATGACACACGCTATACACACTTATATGATTAGCGCAAAACGATTTGAATGCCACATGAATCATTTACTTTAACTAAACGATAGATTCTTAAACCAATTTTTAGTCTCGTAAGTAGTCAATTAGTGATCCAAAAAATGTTACCAATTCCATTTAAAAATAACAATCGATTTTACTTAAAGGTTATTAACATAAACCTGCTGCAGTTATAGTCTTAACCAACTGTCAAAGATAAACGAATGGACAGAGTACAAAAATGTTTCAATGAAATAATATATACCGAAATAGCTGATAGGAATACTGATACCCATAAGTATTCCTACATAATACAAAAGTGAATTTCGAAAATTGCGATTTCAAACTCGAATCTTAGGTTCCTCGTTTGAAATTGAATAAAGGATCATTCTACAAAACTTTCTTACTTATCCAGGCTCAAATTGCCTTCGGTTCGGTCTGTATCTTAGCGTTCCTTCTATTCATCCTTTATAGAGAATTTAACGGCTGAAATTAATTTAAATACCATTATCACTTGCAAATTCTTTAGATGGGGCGCGGGGCTAATCCGATAGTTTTTACAAAAACATCAATATCAGATTATGCACCCCCTGCATGTTTAGTTACGCAATTAGTCATGCCGCAAGGGATGCTATTCAAACACCGAGAAAGATGCTCTACATAATAAAACTTTGATATTTTGTTTATTTTTAATACTTAAGTCAATTGATCCATACTAGAATGATAATTACAGTTTCTTCATAAGTGGAAATCAAGTATTATAAGGTATTGAAAAAAATAACATTTTCTTTTGACGTAAAAAGAAGAGCATCGCATATACGACATCATACAATGCGTTTGTACTTTGAGCTATTACGGTCCCAGGGTCAAGTTTTATTCAAACCAAACGCTATTCTTTATTAGAAACATTAACAATTTTTATAAAAAAGAGCATAAATATATTTACTCTTAAAAATATATACTAAAAAAGAATACATTTTTACAAATTACACGTGAGGGCAAAGTAAACGCACCGATTTGTAATCCATCACCCTTGGACAAAAGGGACAAAAAGAGCAACAGAGGCAATCATTTAAAGTCAATTCGAATGAGACACCATCCGTCTCTCTCTCTCAACTTAATGTTTTTTATTGCAAAAAGTTTTGTCTCTCTCTTTCAGAAAAAAACAACCCTCCAAAGTCGGTGGAGCATTATATTGCGATGATTAGGCTTGCACTTGCCGCTTTTGCCATTGAATTTAAATGGGGGATTAAAATGCTACTGTGTGCATTGTATTATTAAAGCTCTATTGTGCGTTAGTTCATTAAGCGATTGCTGTCGTCATTTTGTCTTTATTACACTACACAAGTTTCAAGATAAAATCAAAAGTAAAAATATACATCATAAATTTATTAAAAATGGTTATAACATTATTTTTGTTCATAAAAATTAGTAATTTAACTATAAGTAAAGTTTTTAGAAAAATTATATTTTTCTTTAATCGTTTGCTGCATCTTTCTAACATCTTGTGAATACCTAACTGCAGTGAAAACAAATACACAATGTTAGGTAAACTTTAGTATAATAATATAAATAGATACTAACCTTTTTACCAAAATAAAACCCTTTTTATTATGCACTTGGTTAGTGTTTACAGCTATACAGCACATATAAAAATATATGTGTAGATAGATATTATAAAAACATCTCAGAAATATTTTTTAAACGTATAGGTACAAATGTACCTACGTATTTCTATCTTTTTTTCAGCATATCATGATTGGATCGTAAAATGTCTTTGAAAATTTGTCTCATTTCTTCTATATGCGGTTAAAAATCCCATCTGTTCTGCGTATGATATTAGCCCCTCCAAGCTTATCCGTCGAAGATTGTTCCTATATCCCCAGATTTTTATAAAATAGGCGAAAAACACGTTTCGTGGCTTTAATTTAAAATTGATCAGGTTTTGCGAGATCTTATTAAAGCCTGCTCGTACGTTGATTCTATCGGTACCTTTTTTTTCACCTCAGCCGGCGTTAAATCGAAAGCGGATCTCATTATTTCCTTTCAACAAAATATGGAAAATTAATTATGCGGGATTTGAATACACTGCGTTTTTCCCTTATTTTTAAATTTTATATAAAAACGATAATTAATTTTAGGTTGTGTTTAAAGTATACATTTATCTTTCCCCACCATGATTCTTTGTTTAAAACATTAAGGGTTAGATGACCATATCTCTGCCTTGTTTCTAAATTAGGAAAATTATAATTGTTTATTTTAGAAAAAACGAAAATCAGTCATGAATTTTTAATTATTTTTGGCTGTATACAATTTTGGAAAAAATCTTCCAAAGGTGGAAAATTAGGAAATGAAAGACGGTTTATTATGATATATTTAGTGATGCTTTTTTAAACGCTAATGATCATCTAAACATTGGGTTCAAAACCATCTAAACAACTAAAATTACTTTTACTGTATTCTACGGTATTATTTTAAATCAAAATCATTATCTTGATAACATAATCTCTTATATTGCCACTTAAACATATTTAT